GGTGGAGATTGGAGTTGCCTGAAGTCCTCTCCAGGGATCGTGGGAGGAAGACAGTCTTGGTGAGGGGTACTTGGAGGTTCCCAGGAAGGTGAGTGTTGAGAGTGAAACCATGCGGGGCCCTCCCCCCAAGGTCCTGGTCAGGGATTGGTTCCCTGCTTCCTGTCTCTAGGACAACCCTTTCCGTCAGAGGATCGCCCAGGTCTTCTCCGAGGATGGGGATGGCCACATGACCTTGGACAACTTCTTGGACATGTTTTCTGTGATGAGTGAAATGGCTCCCCGCGACCTCAAAGCCTACTACGCTTTTAAAATTTATGGTGTGTGCAGGGACCCAGGGTGGGGAAGCGGGAATGAGAGCGGGTCGGGCCAGGGGCTGCCCTGCCATCACAAATGTCTCCCCAAGGGCTCCGAGGCCCTGCGTGGCCCTGTCCTTCACCTCACCCTGGTACCTCCCCACCCCATCCGTTTACTGACTCCATTCCAGCCACAATGGCCTGGCTGTTTCCCCAACACACCAAACTCTTTCTGCCTCTAGGCCTTTGCCTCTGTTGTGCCCTTGTCTAGAATACCTTTCCCCTGGCTTCTTCTTACCTTGAAATTTTGGTGAAAAGTAACCCCTGACCCTGAGTTACTCTCCATGCCACAGCCTATTTCTCTCCTTGCATGGAGCAACGCTGCTTAATTTCTTGTTCATTCATCTGTTCACTCCTTATTGACTTTCTCTCTGAGGAGACACGAGGGCAGTGACAGTGTCTTTTTGGTTCACCATCTGTCTCTGTGCCTGGCACATAGTATGTACTCAGTAAATACCTGCTGAATGAATGAATGAATGAAAATTTATCACAGTGCCTGGCACACAGTAGGCACTCAATAAATACTTGTTGAAAGAGGGAATGAATAACAATTATCAGACGCCTGACACATAGTAGGTGCTCAATAAATACTTGAGTGAATGAATGACCTCCCAGCAGGTCCCTGCCCAATTCCAAAGCAAGATCCAGATATTACCCTAGGGTCTTGGGTTCCCTCTAGTGGCTCAGTTTCCTCCTCTGTAAGACAGGGAAAAGATGTGCCCATGACTGGCCCAGCCTGCCTGCCCCTGTGTCCCCACACCACCACAGCCCCACCTGTTCTGCTGTGCAGACTTTAACAACGATGACTACATCTGTGTGTGGGACCTGGAACAGACGGTGACCAAGCTAACACGGGGAGAGCTAAGCGCTGAGGAGGTGAGCCTGGTGTGTGAGAAGGTGCTGGATGAGGCCGATGGGGACCACGACGGGCGACTGTCCCTGGAAGACTTCCAGAACATGATCCTGCGGGCGCCGGACTTCCTCAGGTGACCTACCTCTCCACCCTGCACAATCCATTCCCATGGATGAGAGAGGCTCTTATGGAAAGGGTTCATAGACTCCCTTTGTGAAAATCCCTCTGTTCATTCATTTGTGACCTTGGGGAACTTTCCCGACCTCCCTAGCCTCAGTCCCTGTGTCTTTAAAATGGGGGTAATTAGAGACCTTGTGAACACCTCCTCTGGGTGGACACAGCTCTTTGGGTGAGTGGAATATGGTTGGACTTCAGCCCTCCGTTGCTTGAACATTTTGTAGTGAACAGACTGTACAATAGCACTTGGTAGCCCTGGGGAGAATCAGGGCTCCCACTGTAGGGTGGATAGCATGGGTTAAATGAGTTAATACAGGGGGTAGCCCCCCACCTGGTTTTGTACCTCCTGTGAGCTAAGAATGGTTTTTACATTTTTAAATGGTTGGGGGAGAAAATAAAAGAATAATCATACTCCACGACACATGAAAGCCATATGAAATTCAAATTTCCGTGTCTATTGCTAGTTTTATTGGCACACAGCCATGCCTGTTTGTGTACATAGTGTCTACGGCTGCTTTTGAGCTACGTGGTGGTGCTGAGTCATCGTGCAAAGTTGGAAATATCAACTATTTGGCCCTTTGCAGAGAAAAGTTGAGTGACCTCTGAGCTAGTACATGGAAAGAATTTAGAGCAGTGCCTGGCATACAGTAGGTGCTCAATAACTGTGCTTTATGGTTGCTGTTGTGGCTGTTATCATTGGTGGTATCCTTTCATGACCAGAGGGCCTCTTTCCTCTACCCTGGATAAGCAAGGCTGGTCTCCTGCCACAGAGACACGAATAATGACACCAGGATGAATCCCTTGCTACTAATTGAGCACCTACTGTATGTCCCGCGCTGTACATTGGCCTCTTTTAAGCCCTTATTACAGCACAGTGAAGGAGGGACAGCTTATCCCCATTTTATGGGGGAGCAAACTGAGGCCCAGAGAGGGGTAGCCGCGCACTTAGAGTCTGGGGCAGAGCCAGGATGTATACTCTGATCCAAAGTGATGCGCTCTCAAACCCTGTGGGGGTCAGGAGGTCCATGGCCTGGGGTTTATTGAGGGGGGTCCATCTCTCCCCCACCCGCTGTGGCTCCTTGCATGCCTCAGGGACTCCTGGTGGGAGTGTTGGGGAGAAGGGCGAAGGAAGGGTACCCTCTGCCTGCTGACAGACTCCTTTTCTCTTTGCACCCAGCACCTTCCACATCCGCATCTGAGGGTACCGCGGAGGAGCCAGGCCAGAGGAAGGCAGGGCGACTCCTCATCTCAATGTAGAATCTGGTCTCCCTGGGCTCCGGGAATAAATACACATCACTGAGTCACAGCTGCTCCGAAAACATGTTTCCCAACTTAAACCTGGCAGACAAGAGGGAGGCAGCCAAGGATCTAACCTCTGTCCTCACTATGTGATCCTGGGTGTGGCTGCACCCTCTCTGGGCCACAATCTCCCCATTTGTACAAGGAAAGGGGTGACATCTGGATCTCTCTCCACTGAGAGGGCTGGAAGTGCCTCACTGCGGGTCTCGGCGGGCAGGGGCGAGGTGTGGAGATCAGGCCCGTGCTGTCCCAGCTCAGGGCCTCCCAAGGCCCAACCCTCGACTGCTCAAGTTGCCTTTTTCCCCCTCAATCCCTGAATTCCTCAAGGGAACTAAAGCTTCACCTCCTCACTGACTCATTAGAATCGCCAGAGAGGAGGCCTCTGGAGAGGGTGTGGTGGCAGGAATGTCATTCACTGAGGCTGGCACAGTGCTTTACAGTTCAGGAAACACCTGCCATTCTTTCATCACATTGGCTGCCTGTGACATCCCAGCAGGGTTGGCTGAGGAGAACTCACACTTCATTCAGAGGCAACGGGGTGACTTGCCCAAGGCCACACCTGAAGTCATCTGCAGAGGTGGACTTGAACCCAGGCCCATTTCACTCTAGATCCCAGACCTCTACATCTTGCAGATTTGGGAACCCCCATACCCAGTCCACTTATAGTCAGTCCATGTCCCCAGTCAATCCAAGGAGTGGTCATTCCTGCAAGAGAGACCAGCCCCCCAGGGACCCTCCCAGACACCTCCACTGTGTATCATTTCTAGGGTGCCCACTCCCACCCTAACCCCCATTTATTAAGCACCTACTGTGCGCTAAAGCCCTAGGTTTTATTTGAATTCTGCTGGTTCATCCTGAGAAAGAGGGACTGCTCTTCTCCCCATTTTCCAGATGAGGAAACAGGCCCAGAGATGTCTAGTGACTCACCAAAGGTCACACAGCCCCACAACCCAAGATTCCCTCCAGAGCCCATCCCCATCCACAGCCCTAGGCTGCCTCTCCCTTTTTAAAGGAAAGGGCCCCTTATGCTTCTCCTAAAGCTGCCGTTGATGTCAGGAGTGCTTACTGTGTGCCAAGCCCTCCACAAGTTTCATCTCCATTTGCACAAGAACCCTGAGAGGAAGGCATGAACAGCCCTGTTACAGACAAGGATGTACTCTATGAGGTGTGCCTAGGTGACGTGGGAAAAGGGCTCAAACTGACCTGGCTTCGAATCCTGGCGCTGACACCCCAGCCATGTGACCTTGGCCACACCTCTTCTCCTCTCTGAACCTGGATCTTCTTTATTTTTTTAATTTTAATTTAATATAATTTAATTGTTTTGGCCCCGTCGCGCAGCTTGTGGGATCTTAGTTCCCCGACAGGGGATCGAACCCAGGCCCTTGACAATGAGAGCACGGAGCCCTAACCACTGGACCGCCAGGGAAATTCCTGTCTCTTCTTTAAAATGTGCAGAACGGGGGCTTCCCTGGTGGCGCAGTGGTTGAGAGCCCGCCTGTCGATGCAGGGGACACGGGTTTGTGCCCCGGTCCGGGAAGATCCCACATGCTGCGGAGCG